CCTCCTAAAAAGGATATTCTTCCACATACCACAGTATCACTATCCCAGCTATTCCTAATATCATCTAATGCCCAGTCTAAGGAATATTCTGACCCTCTGACTCTAGGTTTCTCTAAACTTCATCTATGAATCAATTTAAAGCACTTAGGCTTTTACCAAAGGCCAACATAAGAAACAGTGTATAAAGAGCCTGGCCAGACAAATGAATTAAGATGACAGAGCAAAGCATAAACACAGAATTTCTCTCCTCTAATCCCTAATGCAGTGAACACGATATGTCTTTTTTTTTTTTTAAGTTTATTTACTTATTTTGAGGGAGAGAGAGAGAAAGAACACAAGCAGGGGAGGGGCAGAGAGAGGGAGAGACAGAATCCCAAGCAGGCTCTGCGCTATTAGTGCAAAAGCCCAACACAGGGCTCAAACTCACAAACTATGAGATCATGACCTGAGCTGAGATCAAGAGCCGGACGCCTAACCAATTGAGCCACCCAGGCGCCCCCTTTTTGTTGTTGTTTTAATGCCCCATGTTCACCATCAACAAGGCAAGAAAAGGGGAAACTATGCTATTAACTTCAAGGGAACACACATGAACACGAACACACACACACATACACACACACACACACACACCCTCTGGTAGTACACACTGTGTGGTAATGGCTCCTGCCCTTAACCCAAACCCAGAAGTAGTACAGATCAAGGAAGGTAAGTCAACAAAATCCTTCAGGAAATAAGACATGTAAGGTAAGTGAGTAGACTGAGGAAACACTCTTGTGAATACAAGCCCAGCAGGACTCCAGCAAAGAACCAGCTGCTAAAGCCTGCTCTTTGAAAGAACTGTGCTTAGACGGCTAAGGGAGCCAAAGCCCAAGGGAGCTGGATACCCACTTGAGCTGGACATGCCTAGTACAGGACAGGTAAGAGGATCTCAGAAGAGAAAGTTGAGGTACTCTAAACAAGGCTATACTCAGCCTCATCAAGCTCATTCACTTTCCTATCATAGACTAGAAAAAAAACTGAAAGGAGAACTCAGTACTCAGACTGTAGCTTGCGGGGGGAGAGGGGAGGGAATGACTGGTCTTAAATAAGGTAAGAAAGGTTAAGAGGAATCACCGTCACTATATCAGAAAGAAGTTCTGAACACAGCTATACATATTAAGATGAAACGAAATGCTGTAGCTACAATGGAAAGGGCGAATAGTACCCTCCCCCCCAAAAAAGCATAAAAAGATAAATGAACTTAGTGTGAAAGAAAGTAGAACACAAAGGACAGAGGCAGATTCTACACGTAGATATAATCATAGAAAAAAGAAGAATGAAAACAAGAAAAGCTTGGAGACATGAACACAGAGATTTCAGAGATAAAATAACAAAATACCACTAACATAGATCTAATTTAAAATAGCAAGGAATTTCAAGAATTGGAAAATTTAGATAATCTACCATTTCTTTAATTTCAGACACACTATACTTGTATAGGCAGGAGAGCATGGGGATTTTGAGCTTGGCCTCTGAATCCAGATTGCCTGGATTGAGATCTCAGCCATATTAATTATGTGACCCAGGATAATTTACTTAACCTGAAGCATAAAGGGCACAGGGCCTGGCACAGAATAAGAGCTCAATATTAGCTATCGATGTCATAACCTAATCCATGAACATCAGCTGAATAAATAATAAAATAAATTAAATAAAAAAATAAAAAAAATTTATTAATAAATTAAATAAATAAAATAAAATAAATAAAAAAAAGCACCAAGGACTTCATCTGTAAGTGTGTAGGTACTGTCAAAAACTTCTAAATATGTCAGGTGAGCCACATTAAAGCAATGCTCTGCAATTAAATAAAATTAAAGATAGCAAAATGTGTCTGTCCATTCATACAGAAATCTTCTTTAGAGCTACCCCCTCTTTTAAGGCTGAAATAACTTGTTAGAAATGCAAATTCTCTTCAGGAGGTTCCACCCCAGACCTACTGCATCAGACCTTTTGAAGATGGAACCCAACAATGTTTTAAGATGAATTCCAGGTGATTCTAATGCATGCTAAAGTTTGACGATCACTGTACTAGATGGTCCTAATGTTATGTACCTCAAATTTACAAATAACTGTAGGCTAGAAGACTATTCTTTTAAGTGACAGCTGGTAAAGTATATTACTTATATTTTTAAAATATGCATAATTCATATATACAAGCAACCCCCAAGCTTACAAATAAGAGAACTGTTAAAATAGTTTAATTATAAATATATTACTTGGAATCAAGGTCACATCCACCCTCTAGGAGCAATCTTATAAACCCTAGATAAATTCTTCGCTAGGCAACAAAAGCCTTTTAAACCTGAAAACACAGACAAATGATCTGTTACAGTGAAGTATTTTTATGGGTAAAAATAAACCAAAATTCTAACTCAGATCACTGGAAAGATTCACTTTCCCTACCACAACCTTAGCAATGAGAAAAGACAGATTTCTTCCCACACTGTGATCAAAATAAACATTTTCCTCTTCCTTTCTGCCCTTCTACCTCTGCAAAAATAGAGACTGGAGTTAGGGGCAGGCACCAGGCACAACTGTGACAGAACAGAAGTGCAGGAGTGTTGCAATGGAGACAGCAGAGGGGAAAGGTGACCCCTCCAGCACCTGCACATCTTGGTAACAATAACTGTATACATTTATGCATATGTCTCTGTACATGACTTCCACAAGCTGGCTGTTTGGTCTCCTGCACACAAGTTGATAATACTTGTAGCCAAAGAAAGAATTTCAGAACAAGCGATATGAACATTAAGATGTTCAGTTAAAAAAAAACAGCATTAGTGGGTAAAGGTAAGATGAGAAAAAAGACTATTTACATGGTCTCAAAGTATCTCCCCACAAGATGCATATTAACAAAGGAGAAAGAATAACTGTACCCTAGAGAAACCTGGTAGCCCATCACCTTAACCAAGTAATCAATATTAACATCAGCAATAATGGGACAAATTTACTTCATATGCTTCCCAATATGAGGCACCAGGAAAGACACGACCCCTTTGTTTTTTGAACAGGCACTAATTAACATGACTCATCCCTTTCAGACTATAAGGATTAAGATAATGAAACACCATTATACTTCCTTTTTATGCGTTATACAATAAATCATTTGTATAGTAATAAACTACTTAGCAGATTTCTTTAGAGTATCTTTACACACCATATAATTGTGAAGATTAAAAAAAAAATCTACCAGCTAAGCAGTAAGAGCAAATCAAATATTTCAGGTGTCAAGGGATTAATAAATTTTGTGTACAGTTACTGTTGTCAAAAATTAAAATTAGATGCAATCACCAAACACTGGAGAAAACTGTATTTGTGCTTGTAACAATTTGCAGATCCTTCTGATAGCCTTTTTTTTTTTTTTTTTTTTTTTACAATTGAAAAGAAATTATGTATTCCTTTCTGCTTCAAAATTTTAGGTTAGGCAAAGATCTCTCAGAACACAAAGAAGATACCACAAAAGACAAGTACTACTAAATTGGAATTAATCAAAATTTAAAATTTTGCTTTTCCAAAGACATTTAGCATAATGAAAAGGCAAATCAAAGAAATAATAATAAAAGACAATCCAATTAAAAATGGGTAAGAGATTTGAATAGACAATTTGATATATGATGATTACAAATGGCAAATAAGAACATGAAAAGATGCTCAACATTACCAATCATCAGGGAAACATAAATTAAAAGCACAACAGTACCACTAAACACCCATTAGAATGACTAAAATTTAAGAGTGACAATAACAAGTACTGATGAGGATGTGGAGCCATTGGATGCCATACACAGGAATGCAAAATGGTACAGACATGTTGGAACAGTTTGGCAAAAAGGTAAACATACACTTACCCATATGGCCCAGCAATCCCATTCCTGGGGAAACAAGAACATATGCCCCCCCCAAAAAAAAGACTTGTACAGGAATATTCATAGCAGCTTTATTTATAATAGCCCCCAACTAGAAACAACCCAAATGCCCACCAACTGGTGAATGCATAAACTCTGCTATGTCTATATAATACTGCTCAGCAATAAAGGTACCGACATGTCCAACAATTTGGATGAATCTCAAAAGCATTAAGTGGAAGAAAACAGACAGAAAAGAGTACATTCTATACAATTCCATCTATATGAACTTCTAGAAAAAGCAAAACTGGAGTGACAGAAAGCTTATCAGTAGTTGTCAGGAACCAGCAACAAAGGGACGGAATTGAAAGCAAAGGGGAAAGAGGGAAGTTTCTGGGGTGATGAGTGATGAAAATATTCTCTATCCTGATTGCAGTAGTGGACACACAACTGTGTACATTTGTCAAAACTCATCAAATCGTACACTTTAAACTGGTGAAGTAAATTGTATGTAAATTATAACTCAAAGCTGATTTTAAAATTAAAAAATAGCAAAAATGGTTACCCTTAGGGTACAGACTAGAAAGGAGTACAAAGGAAACTCTGGAGTACTGGTATTGTTCTATTTTTTGATCTTGGTGGGGGATACCTGGCTGTTTGGTTTGGGAAAAAAGTCACTGAGGTGTACAACTATGACTTGTGTTATGTTCTGTACATTTTATTTCAATACAAAGTTTACTAGAAAAGAAAGGATCCTCAACAGTCTGACTTCATATAAATAATGACATGATTCAAAATTGTAGCCAAGAAAATAAATGAACAGAATAAAAGGGGATTCAAAAAAAGCAATCACTTGTCCAAAGTATGTTTACCTATGTGGGGGACTTAAACAATATTCTACCTAGATTAAAGTGTGTGTGTGTGTGTGTGTGTGTGTGTGTGTGTGTGTCTACACAACATAATGGACTTTTCCCCAAACCTTACTCAACATAACCTTTTCTTAAATTAAGTTCACTTTCTTTTTATTTCTAGTGATACGTATAACACAAATATACACAGAACATCTTCACTCCAAAATTTAAGCTTTCTGCTTGGAAGAAAACAAATCTTACTAACCTCTTTCATAAATGACTTGCCTATGCGCACCACTTTTGCAAATAAAATTGGATCATGAGAAAGGTGAGGACCAAGGTAACAGAACATATTGAAGACATCTCTCCTCAAATCTTCAAAGCTCTCTGCTTGTTTTGGTGCTCTCTTGTTTTGCAAAGCATTAACAGGTGAGCCTTTAGCACCTTTAGGAACGCCAACTCTATAAAAAGAAGCAAAATTTATATATACTATATAATACCCTATTTTAAGTTAACACAGTCATATTTATGATTAAGTAAAGCTTTTCTTGCTCAAATTTGCTTTCTATATTTCACTTGTGCCTAACTTTATTAACAGCAGATAATTTAACTGGTAGAAAAAGACAAAAACAATACTCATTTGGAGAAAGTCAGAGCTCAGAGAATGTTTCCAATTTACTGCATAAGGAAATCAGAGAAACGCAGATTTCAAGTAACATTTAACATACACCATATGAACTTGTTCTTAGTTAAACTTGGCCATTATCAAGAATTTGGATATGGGAATGGGGAACAAGGGATGGACCTCAGAGACACTGGAAGATGAAACAGAAAAATATGGATATAACAACAGTGATTCAAGTCAATAAACATTTCTCAATCTGGGTTCCACTACCTAGACTGAGTATGAGGTAGGTGGTGGTAGGAAAGGTGAGCAGCATAATGAAAGAGGGTGTAACACTAAAAAGGACAGCATGCCCAGAGTTCTCACCTGCTGAGCAGGTGTCCCGCTGTGGAGTCACAGGGGTCACTCTCTGAGAAGAAGCCTTCATGGTCCACAGCCCAGGTGGCACTGAAGGCAGCAGCCAGCAGCTATGCACGAGTCACAAGGCTGGGGCCCTGGAGGCAGGCTCTGATCTGTGGGGCTGAAGCCAGAGCTGCTGCCAATACTGCTCCTAAGTATCCTGCAAGCAGGCTGAGGGCTAGAGGACTGGTCGACACACAACTAGGGATGATGAGAAAGGCTGCACTAGCAATTTCCAGAACAGCAGCCTATATGCCAGGAGAGATAAGGCAAGCAGAGAGGCAATGTCCTCACTCAGAGCCCCTCAACAGAGGGAAATTCCCTCAACAGAGGGAAATTACACTAAGTAAAAACCTTAGGAATTCTCTGCCCGCCCCCAAGAAAGGAAGAAAAATCAAAAACAGAAGAGAGTTTTCACTCTCAGTGGAGCACACCCAACCTAGGCATCTAACCTACAATTTTTAGACTACACTGCAGCCCGCATTCTGCACCACCTGGTCTAGATGTTAAGAGACAGGTCACTGATTAATATGTATCAGATTCATACACTCTGAATGGTTCTTATCTTCTATAAAACATACTGAAGTATTTGCTCGTTTGAGGAGACAAGATAAATATGCAGATTTTTTTGTAGTCCTAAGCTATATCTACCTCAATGATTCGAAAAGCATATAGTAACTTACCTTCGGTAGAGAGGCTCTATAGTTATGTGAATGAGCTTGCAAATAGCAAGAGCTATTAGCTTATGTGAAGCTGCATAGTAGGGAGGCATCTGATCCATAATGTTCTGCGCATGCTGCCAATCACCAATCTTCAACAAGGCTTCCAACAAACCAAGTTTTTGGTTGTCAGGTGGCTAAAAATCAATTACAGTGAAGATACTCAGAATGTAGACACCAATAAATCTCAGCATTTTCTCACTTAAAAAATTGAGCTAAACACCACAATAATGCATGTCAACAATGGCTGCCACCCATGGGAAATGCAATGATATTTTCCTGAAAGTAAAAGCAAGTTTTGTTAGCTACTGAAAAAACAACAACGGATTTGCTCAAGTTGTATTTAATGCTTTATTGTGCCATAGGGAACTAGAATTCATTCATCTTTGAGAATCCCCTTAGGACTTGAGAGACATTAATAAACAGAGCACAAATATAGTCATATATTTTACTTAGAATACACTTTGATATTTGTGGACAAAAAACATGGCAGGCTCTTTTGGGAAGGTGCCAATCAGATTAAAACCCAAACCACCTTTGCAAATTAGTATTCCAAAAACCAGACTTCACTACAATTAAAATTAATAAATTATTCTCCCATAAGCTGATTAACTATTACAAGTTAACTTTCAAATTCTAAATCCATAGGACAATGTTAATTTTATAAAAATGAACTATATACCTTCTCTACTTTCTCCTCTTCTTTTTCCTTTTCTTTCTCTCGCTCATCGATTTTTTCAGAAGACAATACAACCATTGTAAGTTTTCTAACAATCTGCTTAGCTTCCACAATTTCTCGTTTGTGTTCATCCATAATGCAATTATCAGCTGGAAGAAGCTAAAAACGGTTCATTAAAGTTTTATAAAATAGCTAATACTGCTTACACATATAAAAAGCAAACACTATCTACCCTTAATTGACCAAAATGTAAATAAGGTCTAGCCTATTAATGACCATGATTTGCTTTCAAAATAAGTTTCTCTCCATTATTTTCTTATAATCTAACAGGGTTAAGTACTTGAATTTTGTACACCTTTTAAAATCAAGTAGCAATTCGAAATTCTTTTGCCTTCTTTCTGTTAGAGGTCCTAAATTAATATAATACAACAGTGATGCTTACCATTCTATTTATTAATTTACCCAAGAAAATGTATGCCTATTCCATGAAAATTATCAGAGTTCCCCTTTAAAGGCCAAACCCCATATTAAAAGAGTACTGCATATGGATCCAATTTGGGAGGGTTAGCTACTGAATTACATGAAGGGGTAAATTTATTTCCTTTAGATGAAAAAAATCTCAAGTAGAAAAATTATGAACTTGACATCTCACTTTTCATTTTCTAATACCTACTATTTGACTTAAGTCACAAACCAGTTTTTAGTTATTTACAAAAGAAAAAGTAGTATCTGTATAGTCAACCTTCCATTATGAAAAAGGATCACGTCATCTCTAGTACAGCCATCTTGTACAAGTGAAAGATGGTTAATGTAGGTATTTCATAAAATAAATAAAAAACCCGACACAGAAAAATATAGCCAACAAACCATTATTTAGTAGTTTCTTCTAGGCACTATGGTAGGCTATATAAGAAGTGTTCCCGCCCTCAGACATCATCTATTTCAGTAACTAAGTCTAATGCAAAGTAAATAATCAGTAAACAATGAAAGGAAACATAGTGAAATATTAAGCTATATATTGTAGACTTCATCCCATTAGTCAAAAATGGGGAGAAAAGTCACTATACATTGATACGAGAAGGTAAGCAAGACTTTTTCCTCATTCTTTCTGCTCTCCACTGGCCATGAAACCCATTTTTATCGCTTTACCTATGTACCTGCTATAGGTCCTCATCTTTAACCTAGATTAATACAACTGCCTCTAAAAATCTCCCATTATAATGAACTATAAGTTTCTTTAAAAAAAAAAAAAAAAAAAAAAAACACACATTTCTTTAAGTAATCTCTACACCCAGTGTGGGGCTCAAACTCACAACCCCAAGATCAAAAGTCACATGCTCTACCGACTGAGCCAGCCAGGCACCCCTGTAAGTTTCTTACAGTTCTCTCAATTTCTAGTTTTGTGTATTTTGAGAATATGTAATTAAGTGTACATAAAGTTACAACTGTTTTGCCTTCCTAGTGAACACAACTTTATTATGAAGTGACTATCTCTTTTTGCCAAAAAGTCTATTTTGTCTGTAACAGTAATAATTTCCCTGGTATATTTTTCCCACCCTTTTACTTCCCAATCTTTCTTTGCCCTTAGGTTTTAGAAGTCCCGTGAAAAATAAATAAACTGGTTTTTAATCCATCTCAAGATCTTTGACACCTTAACAGGAATACTTGGGCCACTTGCATTTGGGCATTTATTGTCAAATTCAAACATTTCAGTAACAAATCTACCATCATCTATCCTTTTTCCATTTGTCCTACCAGCCTATACTTGCCTATAAACTCATTATCTGTCTTTGAATTCTCCTTTTACTGACAAATTTTCCATATTCTCAGTTTGTACATCACTTTTCTACTTTAAATCTTGAAGGGCTCTCTACTCCCAACAAGAAAAAATCCAAACTCCTTACTATGGGACTTAAAAGGCCCTGCAAAGTTTAGCCCCAACATACTCTTCTCCATCTTCATCTCCCCACATACTACCCTAGGCTCCAACCACTCTGAGGTTCCTGATGTTCCCCTAAGATGATCATGAAGCCCCTGTCAATACTCCTGCCTTTATATTCAATTAATTCTACCTACAAAGCTTCCCACCTTTAAAACCAGGCCAACACTCTATGGCTGGCTACTCCTCTTCCCACCCCTGAGATGGACACTCAAATATTCTTAGCAGCCCACTTGACTTACATGTACATAAAGATCATCTAAATCAATAAGATTAAACTGTAGAAGTACTGCTGCAACTCTGTATAAAGATGAAGGAGTCTCTCCATTTGGTTCCTTGGGGGAAAAAAAAAGTTTCTGTTTAGTGCATAAAGTACAACTAAAATCATATTCTTTACCTACCAATAATTAAGAACAATAACATCAAATAACTCTAGATCAACAATAAGCTTAATTGCCCTTCCTGATCATACATAACATCTGAACTGAGGACAAAGATAATTAGGTCAGTATCTCTTTTCACCCTGGAAACATCTTCTGATGAACCCAAAGAAAGGTTTCAAAAATGGACACACTTTACAGTGTACGCCAATATTTTTTAAAATCTGAAAAGTAAAGAGAATAAGTGAGGCTTTAACCCTGCATAATAATTAGTTTTGGTTTCAGTTTATATGTGTGTTCTTAACTTGCTTTTTCAAGTAGTTCCTAGTGGAGATGCAGACAGACAAGAAAGACAAATTTGGAAACGTCAAACTGTGTCTGCTTTATACTTTTCTCCCTGTTCTTTTATTTCCTGGGTTTTGTGCTAAGTATATCTGCTTATCCATTATTTCCCCTTCAACACAGGTGTCTATACATATTACACATGGATAAATCAACATTTTAAAATACAGAATGGTCAATTCCAACCAAGCCAGCCCTGTGGACCCTACACAGAAACAGAAGAACCTTTGAATGTTATCAAAAAGACTTTTCCCCCAAATTTCTAACCTGCTCAGGGTCAAGTGAATGGAAGACTGAAGCCAGGACAACTGGCAATTACTAAATGGCAAAATGCAAATAAAAAGCAAACAGTGACAACACATTATGTTCTGCTTCTACTCAACGCTGAAAACAAGTTCTTTGTAAGGCTCCCCACAACTGTGACAGGTGTTATGGACATAACAAAGGAAGCTGACTAAACTAATGGATATCTTATGAAGAAGGCATTGTTCACTCTCTTTGTTAAGACAGTCTGTTAAGACAGTCAACTCAACAAGTTTAATTCTAAATATTTAAATGTTTATTTAGTATCAAAGCATTTTCCCATAAAAAACAACTGGTCAGGGATTCAGAGCAAACCCACAAAAGCATATTATCTGACTTGGACCCACCAGGAACACTCTCATTACTCCCATTATCTCTGTTTTAATGAGTTCACCACAAGAAGCCCGACTCCCAGGCAAAACATCAACTCCCATACTCTAATCCTCATACTGCTCTGCACAATCCCTGTCCTGTCCCAACCCACCTTTCTGCATTCTTGAAAAACTTCCATGGAATCCTCTGGAACTCATAATCCATCCTCAGCAAAACCCCCTATATATCCGGAACCTCTCCTCTGTTCCTTTACCTTCTTACTCAGAGCCTAGCACTCTGCAGAAACACCTCTCACTATAACCCAATCAAGTGGTGGCTATTTTCCCCAGAACCCTCACACTACTACTAGGCCTAGAGGTGGGGTATGAGTCATCTTTGTTTTTTTATAGTTGTTTTCAGAGTATTCTCCCTCCACTGTCCCCTAAAGCCCACTCAGCTCTGAATTTCCAGTCACTCTCCCTCACTATTGCTGTGATCTAGTCTCATTTCACCGTGGTCAAAGAAAATATTTTGTATGATTTCAATGTTTTAAATTTACTGAGAAGTGTTTTGTGGTCTAAGATAGGGTCTATCCTGGAGAATGCCCCGTGTACACTAGGGGATATGTAATCTATTGTTGCTAGGTAGTTTCCTATGTATGTCTGCTAAGTCTCATTGGTTTATAGTGGCTGTTCAAGTCCTCTGTTTCCTTTTATCTAGCTGTTCTATGCATTAATGAAAGTGGGGTATGGAAATGTCTAACAATTATTGTAGAACTATTTCTCTCTTCAATTCTGTTAATGTATGCTTCATATATTTTGAGGCTCTGTTCGGTGCATATGTGTTTATAACTTTTATCTTCTTATGTCCTTTGTGGTCTACTGTAAAAATTTTTGTCTTTAAGTCTATCTTGCACGATATTCGCACTGCCACCCCAGCTCTCTCCTGGATACTATTTGTATAGGGTATCTATTTTCATACTTCCACTTTGAACACAATTCTATCTGATCTAAAAGTGAGTCTTATGATAAGCATATAGCTGAATGTTTTAAACATTCTGCCAAACTGCCTTTTGATTACAAATTTTAATCCATTTATAAATGTTAATCCATTTAAAGTAACTACTGACAAGGAAGGACTTCTGCCATTTTGCTATTTGTTCCCTACATACATCATTTTTTGTTCCTCATTTCTTCCATTACTGCCTTCTTTTGTGTTTTTTTCTGTAGTGTACCTTTTTGATCCCCTTCCTTTCTCTTTTTTAGTTACTTTCCTAGTGGGTATTGCAATTAATATTTTAAACTTCTAATAATGTACTTTGAACTAATACCAACTTTGCTTCAATAGTATACAAAAACTCTGTACCTATACATCTCGATCCCTCCCCCTTTTATATTGTTACATTATGTGCCAATTCAATCTATAATTGTTTTTATTCCTTTGTCTTTTAAATCACATAAGAAAAAAGTAGGCACTACAAACCAAAACCTACAATAATATTGGTGATTTTGGCTTTTTTGTTTATCTATGTAGTTACCTTTACCAATGTTCTTTATTTCTTTATACAGTTTCAAATTACTGTCTAGTGTCCTTTCATTTCAGCCTGAAGGACTCTCCTTACCATTTCTTGTATGGGCAGGTCGACTAGTGACAAACTCTCCCAGCTTTTGCTTATCTTGGAATAATCTCTCATTTCTGAGGATAGTTTTGCTGGATACAGAACTCTTTACTGACAGTTTTGTTCTTTCAGCATTTTATATATGCCACCCAATGCCTTCTGAAGAAAAATCAACTGTTATCTTATTGAAGATCTTTTGTATGCAATGCGTCACATCTGTTTTGCTGCTTTCAAAATTATCTTTGGCTTTGGCTTTCAACAATTTGAGTATAATATAATGTGTCTTGGTGTGGATCTCTTTGAGTTGATCCTGCTTGGTGTTTGTGGGTTTCTTCAATGTGTAGATTCATATCTTTCATCACATTTGGGAAATTTTCAACCATTATTTTTTCTGAAATGCTTTCTATCCCTTTCTTTCCTCTGCTTCTGAGACTCCAATATACACACTGGTATTAAATGATATCTAGTCTCTTAGACTGTTCATTTTTCTTCATTCTTTTCTCTTTCTGCTCCTCATGCCAGGTAACCTCAACTGGCTCATCAAGTTGGCTTATTGGTTCTTCAGCCTTCTCAAATCTGCTGTTGTACCTCTCCAGTCAATTTTTCATTTATCATACTTTTTGACTCCAGAAATTTGTTTGGTTCCTTTTTTATAATTTCGATTTCTTTACTGATATTCTGTCTGGTTTCCTTTAGCTCTTGGTCCATGGTTTCCTACAGATCATAACATATTTAGGACTGATGATTTAAATTATTTATCTAATAGCTCCATCTCTTGGGCTTGCTCAGGGATAGTTTCTATTTTTTTTTCCCTTGTGAATGAGCCATACTTTGTTTCACTGCATACCTCGCTATCTCTTTTTGAAAACCGAATACTGGCAACTCTGAAAATCAAATTATGCCCCATCTCTGGGGTTTGTTGACGCTTAATGTGGGTTCTTGTTGTTTTCTTATTTTGTGACAACTTATAGAATCTACATTATTGTTGTGTGTGGCCACTGAAATCTGTTCTGTTAGCTTAGTGATCAGCTGGAGTTTTGAGTTTTCTTAAGGGCCTGAAGCCCAAAAAAAGAATAAAAGAAAAACAGAAAGAGAAAAAACACTCTCCCAGTCTTTACATACTGGCTCTGTGTTAGGGCATGCCTCAACACTTGGGCAGGTCATTTACAATTCTTAGTCTTCACTTCCTGCTTGGGCAGAGCCCAAAGGCCAGCCAGAGGGAAAAGCTTAGGATCTTTTCAGCCCTCTTCTAATTATGTATCCAGTTCTGGACATAAGCATGGCCTTTTGTTCCAATTCCCTGGCACATGCTATCTCCTTAGCCAACTTCTTTCTTCCCAGGCTTTCAGTCTCTCTATTGCTTCTGTCACTGCTGTCTCCTGTTCCAAGCTGCTAAAGCTAGTAGCTGTGTCTTCAAATCCTTTTGGCAAAAGCCACCCCAGCTCTGGAGATGTTCCTAGTCAGGCAAAACAAAAACAGACCCTTATACCAGTCCTTCAGAGAACAGCCAGAGAGGTCGCAACTCACAATTCTTTGTGTCCCCGGGCATGAGCAACCTATACACTAGGAGTGCAGGCTTCTATCTTCGTGGCCATCATTGATCTGGATGTGAGGGACAGTAGGCAGGCAATTTACAACATCAAAGTGCTCTCTTTGCCCAGCAGCAGCTTCTTTCTTCACCAAGCCTTTCCTCAGTTGTACGTTATTTTTACTATCCAGAATTCTGTTAAGTTGATGGACAACTGTTGCCGGTTCATTAGTCGCTTTTATGGACAGACAGAGCTCTAGGGTTCCCTACTCTGCCATTCTCGGTCGGGTCCTACTGTTGCCATCTATGTATTATTCATGGGTCACTGCCCTTCATTTAGCAATGATCTTATAGCTTCTGATTCACTGCCACTATGTACGACTCTATTTCTTTCTTAATTTTTAATTTTTTAGAGGTTTTCATATATATATGTAAATGATACTTTCCATCATGCTGGCCTCTTGGCTCCTCGAACTCTTCTCTGCCAAAGATCTTCTCCTCTACTCCAGCTCAGCCATTCAGTCCATAACCTAAATTTTAATATTACCAGTAACTACAGCCTCTCCAAAATGTCAATTTCACATATCCACCCTCAGATGGATCCTTAATGCTGCTGGACAATCATACTCTATATCTCTCATCCATTCACTCTCCTATATAAACTATTTTCTACATTCTCTCCTAACCTCCAATACCTCCTCTCTCACCCTCTTTCGGCTGATGACCTTGTTTTCAATCTCAGCAAGAAAACTGGAGCAATCATTAAAATTTCTGCAAACTTTCACCATCACATCTATCCATCTACCAACATCTGTACCTATATGTGCTGCCTTTCCAACTGTTATTCTAGAT